ACGCAAACTCCAAATATACACAGCAGCGTCAGGGTCGGGATCGAACCCACGACCTCCTGTACACCAGGCGAGGTAGTTAAATCCGCTATTTCGGTGTCACTTGCAATGGAACGAACGCGCGCGCGTATTGTTTGCCGAGTTGCGTTGTGTTTTTCTCTCCTTCGCCAGAAGAGCATCTGGATTCCACGCAGCAGCAGGCGCCGCTCACGAAGCCTCAGAGACCTCTTCAACCCATAAAACCATTCGACGAGGTAATCATCAGCTGTTTGACAAAAACACACACATACCTACAATATATTTCGATTTAAAGCTTTCGTGACTGCAGGGATTCATCTTCTTGGTTCTTTCGGTAAAGTCACCACGTAGAAGGGAAATAATAAAATAATAAAAATAAAACATAATAAGATACAATTCTCACGACGTTTCGGCCACAACGCAAGCAGCCGTCCTCAGGTGAAGAACAGGTCTGTCGGAAAGACAGCGTCTGAATGAACAGGTCTGTCGGAAAGACAGCATCTGAATGAACAGGTCTGTCGGAAAGACAGCGTCTGAATGAACAGGTCTGTCGGATAGACAGCGTCTGAATGAACAGGTCTGTCGGAAAGACAGCGTCTGAATGAACAGTCTGTCGGAAAGACAGCGTCTAAATGAACAGGTCTGTCGGAAAGACAGCGTCTAATGAACAGGTCTGTCGGAAAGACAGCGTCTGAATGAACATCTGTCGGAAAGACAGCGTCTGAATGAACAGGTCTGTCGGAAAGACAGCGTCTGAATGAACAGGTCTGTCGGAAAGACAGCGTCTGAATGAACAGGTCTGTCGGAAGACAGCGTCTGAATGAACAGGTCTGTCTTTCCGACTGTCTTTCCGACAGACCTGTTCATTCAGACGCTGTCTTTCCGACAGACCTGTTCTTCGCCTGAGGACGGCTGCTTGCGTTGTGGCCGAAACGTCGCGAGAATTGTATTTTTTTTTTTTATTTTTATTATTTCCCTTCTACGTGACTTTACAAAATATATTTTGGGCAACTTAACAATCCCCCCCCCCCCTAAAAAAAACACCCCCATTTTGTGTGTTCTCAAGGTTATCAGATGCCTGGTGTCGGTTAAGTTACACAAATGTCCCCCGTGTAGCCTACACGGGCTGTTGGGGCAAGTGCTGTTGGCGAAGACCTGTCGGGGCGTCACGGTGTTTGGGTAACAACCGCACCAGGCCGCCTTTGTCTCCCCCAAATGCTGACGTTCGCACACCGCACCAGGTGTCCGTTTAAGGCTGAGTCGACCGAGGGGAAGCCCAGGACCGATTCAAATATAAACACGCCGGCGTTGTTGGTCGTGAACGGGAATTGAGCTTGGGTCGCTGAGTTGATAAGCACAGTCCAGCGCTGATCGCTGTAGCTCCCCACACACACAGACACACACAACACAGATACACAGACATCACACACAACAACAACAACAACAACCGCCATTCGCCACTAAGTGGCGGTGACGTCACCACGACGCTTGTGCCAGGCCATGTGCACCTTGAGGCTGCCACGTGAAGTGTCCAACGCCCGCTGGCAGGAGGTCACGGGGCAGACCCAGCAGGTGCCACGGGTCGACTGACCGAGATGACCGAGACGACTGGCTGATGCACCACCTGTGCCCCCTACTGTGCCAACTTGCTGTGCTTTAGCCACCCGGCGCTCACACGCACGCAGATATACACAAACAGATACGGCATTGAAAGACGCGTCCCCAACATTATATTATAATACAGAGGGATGATGCCATTTGTATCTTTTCTTAGGGAGTTGCAGGTGGCAGCGGCTGGAGTGTCACCCGTTTTCCCACACCTCGATGGAGCAAAGCGCCGCTCGCCATCATGAAAGAACTCCCTCCGTGGATTACGGACTGGATGAGGTGAGCCATTTCTCACTTGGCGTCCACTCGTGAATCCAAGTTGGCTTCGCTTGAATGCAGCGGTTCTTTGCCGTCACCGCAGCCTTGCGCCCCTGTGGTTTGAAATTCGTAATTTTTGTCTCGTGTCAATAAACACATAGGGGTTCAATCTTAATTTTGGAGCTTTCGTGACTGCAAGAATTATTCTTTGGTTCTTTCGGTGAAGTCACGTCTAGAGATAAAATAATAATAAAATAATAATAAAACATAATAAAATAATAATGTAATAATATAATATCACTTCCCTTCTACGTGACTTTACCGAAAGAACCAAGAAGATGAATCCCTGCAGTCACGAAAGAAGCTTTAAATCGAAAAATAAAATAATAATTAAATAGCATATTACGACGTTTCGATTGCAACACAAGCAATCGTAATCATCGCATAAAAGAAATAGCGACAAAAATCTAACTAGAAAACTATAACAGACATACAAGCAGACAGACATCCTCTCTCTCTGTGTGTCCTTGTGATGTCTGTCTGCTTGTATGTCTGTCTATAGTTTTCTAGTTAGATTTTTGTTGCTATTTCTTTTATGCCCGATGATGATGATTGTGTTGCAATCGAAACGTCGTAAAATGCTATTATTTAATTATTACTTTATCTTTAGACGTGACTTCACCGAAAGAACCAAAGAATAAACACATAGGGGTTGATGAAACAAAGTGTTTCGATGATTTAACCTTCTACAAACATCCGGCCACGTCTTGGCAAGAAAGATAATCTCGTATCCCCAGGGGGGCGCATCTACCCCCGGCGAAGAATGACCACTGGTACTAACAGGGAGGGTTTTCCACCCTTTTATCTGCCAACAAAACTGACACCTTTTGCAAGGAATCATGTCTACATTAAACACAATAGTTGCAGTCAAATGCAAAACAAAAACAACACTCTGATCATTAATTGATGCATTGTTTTTGAAACTGATTGGTCCACACCAGAGGCAGCTTTCTTTAGAGCCTAGTCTCATACGGTGTTCGACCAGATGACGCCAAAAGGCGTTACACAGTTCAAAGACAACGCACCATCAGAGTAACGAGAGCTCGGGGTGAGCAGCTACATTATGGGACCTCCTTTGCCAGTACCAACATATACTCATAGGGGTTTAACCCTTTTTCCTGGCAAAACTGACACCTTTTGCAAGGACTCATGTCTACATTAAACACAATAGTTGCAGTCAAATGCAAACAAAAAACACATCTGATATTAATTGATGCATTGTCTTTGAAACTGATTGGTCCACACCAGAGACAGCTTTCTTTAGAGCCTAGTCTCATATGGTGTTCGACCAGACGACGCCAAAAGGCGTTACACAGTTCAAGACAACGCACCATCAGAGTAATGAGAGCTCGGGGTAGAGCAGCTACATCATGGGACCTCCTTTGCCAGTACCAACATATACTCATAGAGTTTTCCCCTTTTTTCTGGCAAACTGACACATTTTGCGAGGACTCATGGCTTACATTAACCACAATACTTGCAGTCAAATGCAAAACAAAAACACAATACTCTGATAATTTATGCATTGGCGTCATCTGGTCGAACACCATATGAGACTAGGCTCCAAAGAAAGCTGTCTCTGGTGTGACCAATCATTTGCAAGGACAACGCATACATTATCAGAGTATTGTGTTTTTGTTTGCATTTGACTGCAAGTATTGTGGTTATTGTTTTTTAGTTTACATTTTTACCGTGCAATACAGTATTGTAATTAATAAGTACACACAGTATATAGTTTATACAGTACGGTATTGTAAATTGCTCTGTGTTGCTAAATTATCACCGTTCTGTAAGACTCCTGGGTAGGCTATAGGCCATCTTCGACTTACGACATTTCGACTTACGATGATGGGGTCATCGTAACGCATCTCCGTCGTAAGTCGGGGACTGCCTGTACATGTGTTCTAGTGAGAGTCGTAAGTCGGGGACTGTCTGTGCATGTTGTTATAGTGAGAGTCGTAAGTCGGGGACTGTCTGTGCGTGTTGTAGTGAGAGTCGTAAGTCGGGGACTGTCTGTGCGTGTTGTTATAGTGAGAGTCGTAAGTCGGGGACTGCCTGTGCATGTTGTTATAGTGAGAGTCGTAAGTAGGGGACTGCCTGTGCATGTTGTTATAGTGAGAGTCGTAAGTCGGGGACTGCCTGTACATGTTGTTATAGTGAGAGTCGTAAGTAGGGGACTGCCCTGTGCATGTTGTTATAGTGAGAGTCGTAAGTCGGGGACTGTCTGTGCATGTTGTTATAGTGAGAGTCGTAAGTAGGGGACTGTCTGTGCATGTTGTTATAGTGAGAGTCGTAAGTCGGGGACTGTCTGTACATGTTGTATAGTGAGAGTCGTAAGTAGGGGACTGTCTGTGCATGTTGTTATAGTGAGAGTCGTAAGTCGGGGACTGTCTGTGCATGTTGTTATAGTGAGAGTCGTAAGTAGGGGACTGTCTGTGCGTGTTGTTATAGTGAGAGTCGTAAGTCGGGGACTGTCTGTACATGTTGTTATAGTGAGAGTCGTAAGTAGGGGACTGTCTGTGCATGTTGTTATAGTGAGAGTCGTAAGTCGGGGACTGTCTGTGCATGTTTTTATAGTGAGAGTCGTAAGTCGGGGACTGTCTGTGCATGTTGTTATAGTGAGAGTCGTAAGTAGGGGACTGTCTGTGCGTGTTGTATAGTGAGAGTCGTAAGTCGGGGACTGTCTGTACATGTTGTTATAGTGAGATCGTAAGTAGGGGACTGTCTGTGCATGTTGTTATAGTGAGAGTCGTAAGTCGGGGACTGTCTGTGCATGTTTTTATAGTGAGAGTCGTAAGTAGGGGACTGTCTTGCGTGTGTTATAGTGAGAGTCGTAAGTAGGGGACTGTCTGTGCATGTTGTTATAGTGAGAGTCGTAAGTAGGGGACTGTCTGTGCATGTTGTTATAGTGAGAGTCGTAAGTCGGGACTGTCTGTACATGTTGTTATTGTGAGAATTGTAAGTAGGGGACTGTCTGTGCGTGTTGTTATAGTGAGAGTCGTAAGTCGGGGACTGTCTGTGCGTGTTGTTGTAGTGAGAGTCGTAAGTAGGGGACTGTCTGTGCATGTTGTTATAGTGAGAGTCGTAAGTAGAGGGACTGTCTGTGCATGTTGTTATAGTGAGAGTCGTAAGTCGGGGACTGTCTGTTGCATGTTGTTATAGTGAGAGTCGTAAGTCGGGGACTGTCTGTGCATGTTGTTATAGTGAGAGTCGTAAGTCGGGGACTGTCTGTGCATGTTGTTATAGTGAGAGTCGTAAGTCGGGGACTGTCTGTGCATGTTGTTATAGTGAGAGTCGTAAGTAGGGGACTGTCTGTGCATGTTGTTATAGTGAGAGTCGTAAGTCGGGGACTATCTGTGCATGTTGTTATAGTGAGAGTCGTAAGTAGGGGACTGTCTGTGCATGTTGTTATAGTGAGAGTCGTAAGTCGGGGACTGTCTGTGCATGTTGTTATAGTGAGAGTCGTAAGTCGGGGACTGTCTGTGCCTGTTGTTATAGTGAGAGTCGTAAGTCGGGGACTGTCTGTGCATGTTGTATAGTGAGAGTCGTAAGTAGGGGACTGTCTGTGCATGTGTTGTAGTGAGAGTCGTAAGTCGGGGACTGTCTGTGCATGTTGTTATAGTGAGAGTCGTAAGTCGGGGACTGTCTGTGCATGTTGTTATAGTGAGAGTCGTAAGTCGGGACTGTCTGTGCGTGTTGTTATAGTGAGAGTCGTAAGTAGGGGACTGTCTGTACATGTGTTGTAGTGAGAGTCGTAAGTAGGGGACTGTCTGTGCATGTTGTTATAGTGAGAGTCGTAAGTAGGGGACTGTCTGTGCATGTGTTATAGTGAGAGTCGTAAGTCGGGGACTGTCTGTGCATGTTGTTATAGTGAGAGTCGTAAGTCGGGGACTGTCTGTGCATGTTGTTATAGTGAGAGTCGTAAGTCGGGGACTGTCTGTGCGTGTTGTTGTAGTGAGAGTCGTAAGTCGGGGACTGCCTGTACACACCGTTGTTATCATATCACGTGGAAAATCGCATGAGCTGCAAGCGTTCCATTCGCAAGGGTGTCCCAGGGGTGACACCAAGTAAGTTCGAATAGGCGGATTTACTTGAGAACGGTCAGAACTGGATCTTGACTTAAAGCTTTCGTGACTTCAGGAATCCATATTCTTGGGTCTTTCGGTGAAGTCGGGTAGATAGAAAATACAATTAAAAATAATAAAATTAAATAAAAATAAGAAAAATAATAATAATAATCAATTGAAAATTATTAAAGCAAAAACCCACGACGTTTCGATCGCAACGCATCAACATAATTTATGAATGTGTTCAGTTAGAAATAACAATAAGTGTAACCCGTAAAAACAAAGTTTTTCACTATAAATCCTTTATATGCGTGGCGGCTAGAGTCCTCTCGTCCTCTGGCTTGAGATGGCTGCCACCTATGGGTCAGATGATTGCATGCCACCATTAAGCAATTGGTAATTAAATATTTAATTTGTTTTCCCTAAACAGTGTAAAATTTTGGAAAAAAAAATTCACGAACATTAATTGTCACGCACAACGAGTCTGTGTAGCAAAATGTCAGCTCGATTGGATCACGGGAAGTGGGTTAAAAAACGACCGAAGGATTTGCACGGTCGTTAGCAAAGCAAGCAAGCGAACTTAATATAAAGGGTTTTAAAAAAACGACGACGTTTTGACCGCAAGGCAAACGTCGCTTCCTGTCGACCTGAGCTCGATTGGCGGTGACGAGGCTGCGCTGTCTTCACAGGCGTCACAACAGACGAGGGGCGCCTACAAAGACGGCCCAAGAAGCACGCGACATGGGTACGTACGCAAGGGGTCTGTGGGCGCTGTGCGATCACACTCGTGGCTACTCGTGGCGGGCTAGACCTGGCCACGCGAAACCCCGTCGTCATACGGGACGTCCCGTAACCCGCTGAAATGTGCGTACGTTTATTTGCGTGTAGTTTTTCTTACTTGCAGATAGTTTTTATTTCCCTCGTGACCTTTTCCCCGTGTTCACAATCAACATGTTTGGGTGTTAGATCGCCGCGTTATTTATAAATGTGTCGTAACCCTCCACCACCCGACACGGCCAATCGGTAAAACAGTGTCACGTTGACAAAAGACAAATTAGTTCGCTGCTTTAGCCCCCACACCGGTGTGTGTTGAAGCGTGAAACCACAACGTTTACTATTTGAGTAGCGCTGTGACGTTTCGCTGGTAATTGCATCCAGCAGCATCATCGCACAATTCGCCAGAATCTTGAGGGGCTCTGCTGTGTCTCCCGTTCTTATATAGAGCGGCAGCAGCAGCAGCTGCAGCAGGTGACGTCATCATTCACTAGTGATGACGTCATCACTAGTGATGACGTCACCCTGCTGCTCTATATAAGCAGCAGCAGCAGCAGGGTGACGTCATCGTTGACTAGTGATGACGTCACCCTGCTGCTTATATAGAGCAGCAGCAGCAGGTGACGTCATCGTTAACTAGTGATGACGTCACCCTGCTGCTTATATATAGAGCAGCAGCAGCAGGGTGACGTCATCACTAACTAGTGATGACGTCACCCTGCTGCTTATATAGAGCAGCAGCAGCAGGGTGACGTCATCACTAACTAGCGATGACGTCACCCTGCTGCTTGTATAGAGCAGCAGCAGCAGGGTGACGTCATCGTTACTAGTGATGACGTCACCTGCTGCTTATATAGAGCAGCAGGGTGACGTCATCATTCACTAGCGATGACGTCATCCTGCTGCTTATATAGAGCAGCAGGGTGACGTCATCATTAACTAGTGATGACGTCACCCTGCTGCTTGTATAGAGCAGCAGCAGCAGGGTGACGTCATCACTAACTAGCGATGACGTCACCCTGCTGCTTATATAGTGGACGTCATCATTGACTCATTAACTCATCAGGTGCAACGATGTGAGGCGGTGTTATTGTAATTATATACTCGATTAAACTTTGCCCCGTATCTTTATGCCGATTGTCATTGGTGGCGACAGCTGTTCGCGTGCCGAACGACCGAAGCTGTTCCGTGATTTTCGTGTTTGATCGCGTAAATATGCGCGCGTCGTTAAACCCGCCACCGCCCAATACAGCCGAGTGGGAAGGTTTGCCACGTAGTGAAAGCGCGCCAACTCGTTACTAGTTCAGCGCACTGGTGTGTTGGACAGTGAGCTCACAACATTTACAATTCGAGTAGCTGTGACGTTTCGCCGGTAATCCGAACCATAACCCACCCAATACAGCCGAGTGGGAAGGTTTGCCACGTAGTGAAAGCGCGGCAACTCGTTACTAGTTTCAGCGCACTGGTGTGTTGGAGAGTCAGCTCACAACATTTACATTCGCGTAGCTGTGTCGTTTCGCCGGTAATCACAACCCTAACCATAACCCGCCCAATACAGCCGAGTTGGGAAGGTTTGCCACGTAGTGAAAGCGCGCCAACTCGTTACTAGTTCAGCCGAGTGGGAGGTTGCCACGTAAATAAAGCGCGCCAACTCGTTACTAGTTCAGCGCACTGGTGTGTTGGAGAGTCAACTCACAACATTTACAATTCCAGTAGCTGTGACGTTTCGCCGGTAATCACAACCCTAACCATAACCCGCCCAATACAGCCGAGTGGGAAGGTTTGCCACGTAAAGAAAGCGCGCCAACTCGTTACTAGTTCAGCCGAGTGGAAGGTTTGCCACGTAAAGAAAGCGCGCCAACTCGTTACTAGTTCAGCCGAGTGGGAAGGTTTTGCCACGTAGTGAAAGCGCGCCAACTCGTTACTAGTTCAGCCGAGTGGGAAGGTTTGCCACGTAAAGAAAGCGCGCCAACTCGTTACTAGTTCAGCGTAATGTTGTGTCGGAGAGTCAGCTCACAACATTTACGATTCGAGTAGCTGTGACGTTTCGCCGGTAATCACAACACCCGGCATCATCAGGCGACAGCCGCAGAGTCGTGGAGAAATTCTCCTCGTGTTTCGGTCTCAAATAGAGGGGATCAGTGTGACGGCGTCACTTGTGTGGGCCAATCCGGTGCGAAGACCAGAGGTGTGGGAGGGTTAATGCGTGTGTAGTGTTGTAAGGACGGACTTCTGGACTTCTTTATGGCACACACTGTTTATTATCTTAACACACAGCCCCTATCACACTAAGGGGGTATACGGTCCCCTCACCCGTTACCCTCAGAAGGTACAAGTCTCCGGACCTTGCAGGCTGTCTAATCTCCCTGCTCTCCCAGCGTCCTCTGGCTGGACCTAGGGCAGCGGTCGGGAACCTGTGGCCCGCGAGCCATACACATGGCTCTTCCGGTGACGGCATATGGCTCCCAGACAATTTTGAGTTGAAAAAAATTATAATAAAAAAATAAAAAAATAAAATCAGTTTGGAACTGATTTTAAAATACTTGTGATATTTGCTTAATAATAGTGTGTCATTTTAAAGTAAACAGAAATTAGTTTTGAAGATAAAATTTATCGGGTCACAGGTCCCGTGACCAGAAGTCACATTAAAAGTAAGACGTATTTAATTTATTATACGTTAAAAATTACTATATGGCTCTCAATGAAATATATTTAGAAATATTTGGCTTTTATGGCTCTCCCAGTCAACAAGGTTCCCGACCCCTGACCTAGGGGATCTCTCCCCGACCGCTGGTGACTCTGAGCCCGAGCCCTGACGAGGGCTGGACGGCTTGGTCCAGGGTCCTAGACGTCTTCGGCCGACTTGGGTCTTCGTGTAGCAGAACTCCTCCAGAGCTCTCAGCGCTCCGGCTTGTATACCTGTTCGTGGCCGCGTTGTCCAATCCCCGGCCACCTTGTGGGACCCTCCGATTGGTCCTTCCCAATCTGGCGTTTGGATCCTACCTCACCCCATTTGACCCTGACCGTTTGATTGAGCGGGAAAACCTTGTTTACGATCAGCTCTCACAGTTTGCGAACAGCGAGTAGTTACCACCACTACACGTGCATCTACATCAGAATGGATATCCGTTACCGGTTGGATTACTAATAGGGTAAGCGACAGACATGGTCGCGAAAGCCTACGGGTTAAACAAAGTAGCTTTTATTCTTAGGTTGTTTCGGTAAAGTCACCGTGTAGGTAAAACATTAAAATTAATAAGAGTAAAATAAAAATCACGACGTTTCGGAGGCAACACAAGCTTCCGTCTTCAGGTGGAACCGTCACAGCCACGACAGCCGTATCAAGTAAATGAGAGATTTCAGGAGCTACCACTCCGATTATATAATGGTTGGAGAGGGGGGGTAGGGCCAAGTACGGCATACTTTTATTAATACGGTAAGGTGAGGCTTAAGAGGCTGAGCCTTTGTTATGGAGAGGTACGGTTTGTGACTAAGCCTGGCCTACGTAACAATAGTGTGAAAAAAGAAACAACTAAACCTGGTAAAACAAGCCTGGCTGTCTATCAATAACCTGTAATAGTTGTCTGTCAAATAAGATGGTCCAATAAGTGTAGTTAAATCTTTTTTGCATGGTCAATACATCTTTCCAATGATTACTCAGTTTGTAACCGTCATCACGGTTGAAATTATGTCTGTGTTTGTATATTTGTATGGCTTCGTGTACAAACCTTTGATGGTAGCCAGGAGGTTTGCAGAGAACCTTGGTCTCGGAAAAGACAATTTCATGAGAGCCCACCGAGTTGTAGCAATGATCGGCAACGGCCGAAGAATCAGTTCTGCCGTGTTTCAGATCTGACTTGTGCTCGTAACTTTTGTGTCTTTAAGAAGAAGAAGTAGAAGATGAAGACGAAGCAATGGACACAGGCCACATGGAGCCCGAGACCGGCACCGCCAACCCCCTGTGGATGAATCAGGTACCAGCAAAACTATGGGAACCTCATTTGCCAGTAAAAATATGATAATTGGTTTTTACCCTTCTATCTGGCAACAAAACTGACACCTTTTTACAAGGAGTCATGATTTGTATAGACAGCAATACCTGCAGTCGTAATGCAAACAAAAGACATAACTCTGATAATATATGCACTGTCCTTGAAGTTGATTGGTCCACACCCCGAGACAGCTTCCTTAGAGCCTAGTCTCACATGGTCCTTGAAGTTGATTGGTCCACACCCGAGCAGCTTTCCTTAGAGCCTAGTCTCACATGGTCCTTGAAGTTGATTGGTCCCCACCCCGAGACAGCTTTCCTTAGAGCCTAGTCTCACATGGTCCTTGAAGTTGATTGGTCCACACCCGAGACAGCTTTCCTTAGAGCCTAGTCTCACATGGTCCTTGAAGTTGATTGGTCCACACCCGAGACAGCTTTCCTCAGAGCCTAGTCTCACATGGTCCTTGAAGTTGATTGGTCCACACCCGAGACAGCTTTCCTTAGAGCCTAGTCTCACATGGTCCTTGAAGTGATTGGTCCACACCCGAGACAGCTTTCCTTAGAGCCTATCCTCACATGGTCCTTGAAGTTGATTGGTCCACACCCGAGACAGCTTTCCTTAGAGCCTAGTCTCACATGGTCCTTGAAGTTGATTGGTCCACACCCGAGACAGCTTTCCTTAGAGCCTAGTCTCCATGGTCCTTGAAGTTGATTGGTCCACACCCGAGACAGCTTTCCTTAGAGCCTAGTCTCACATGGTCCTGAAGTTGATTGGTCCACACCCGAGACAGCTTTCCTTAGAGCCTAGTCTCACATGGTCCTTGAAGTTGATTGGTCCACACCCGAGACAGCTTTCCTTAGAGCCTAGTCTCACATGGGTTAGACAGATGACGCCAAAAGACGCACAACTCAAAGACAACGCACCATCAGAGTATGAGAGCTCGGGGCAACATCTACACTATGGGAACCTCATTTGCCAGTAAAAATATGATAATTGTTTTTTTACCCTTCTATCTGGCAACAAAACTGACACCTTTTTTTTACAAGGAGTCATGCTTGCATAGACCGCAATACCTGCAGTCGTAATGCAAACAAAAGACATAACTCTGATAATGTGCACATTATCCTTGTAAAAAGGTGTCAGTTTTGTTGCCAGATAGAAGGGTAAAAAAACAATTATCAGGTACCCCAAAGTTCTACAGCCAGACACCAATCCCGTACCGACGCCAATGCTGGAAATCCCACGTGATCCTATGGTGAGGGTGAGTCCCTCCATAGGACCAACCACTTATTGGCTTCCCTGTCTGTCTGGTGGTTATCGTTATTATTTTATTCACAATCAACGTGTTTGGGTTTAGATCGCCGCGTTATTTATAAATGTGTCGTAACCCTCCACCACCCGACACGGCCAATCGGTAAAAAAGTGTCACGTTGACAAAAGACAAAATAGTTCACTGCTTTAGCCCCCACACCGGTGTGTGTTGAAGCGTGAAACCACAACAATTTACTATTTGAGTAGCGCTGTGACGTTTCGCTGGTAATTGCATCCAGCATCATCATCGCACAATTCGCCAGAATGCTGAGGGTCTCTGCTGTGTCTCCCGTTCTTATATAGAGCAGCAGCAGCAGCAGCAGGGTGACGTCCTCATTAACTCATTACAGCGCAGAGAGAGGGATGATGATGATGATGGGCTTAGTCGGCAATCCAATCAGCGGTTGAACTCGTGACCTTTCGATTGCGGGCCGCAGACTGGCCCACCCCCGTCGGTCCTCATTTCAAAATAGCCTCGAATGAAATGGAAGACTGTCAAATGACCTCCCGCTCGCTCGCCGCTGCTGTGGTACACCTCGTGCCACACAGGGACAGCTGCCAGTGGGGGTGCCCCCTTGGCCAGACTGCCGACGGCAGTGACGAGATGCAATGAGTGGCGCTTGAAGCTACTCAGGAGTCGGTGTAGCAAGGGGGCCCTACGCACTCAAATCCTCCCTCGTCGTTACATTCTTGGGAGCGTCGCTACGAGCCGATTTGCCCGCGGGGTTTTTGGAGAGGGGGTCCTTTGGTTGCGAAGAATTAACGGCGGAGAAATCTTGAGTTCGAAATCGAGCGAGGCGAAACGTTTAACGACCGTAACATCTTCTTGGTTCTTTCGATAAAGTCACCACGTAGAAGGGAAGTAATAAAATAATAAAAATAAAACATAATAAAATAATTCTCACGACGTTTCGGCCACAACGCAAGCAGCCGTCTTCAGGTGAAGAATGAAACACTGCCAAGCTTGGAGCTTATATATGAGCTTGATATGCACATTCTTTTTTGTTAAGGCGCTCTTCTTCCACCTCCAACCCAGCTTATATATAAGCTCCAAGCTTGGCAGTGTCTCATTCTTCACCTGAAGACGGCTGCTTGCGTTGTAGCCGAAACGTCGTGAGAATTATTTTATTATGTTTTATTTTTATTATTTTATTACTTCCCTTCTACGTGACGACTTTACCGAAAGAACCAAGAAGATGAATCCCTGCTGCAGTCACGAAAGAAGCTTTAAATCGAAATTTGACCGTAACACGCCGAGACAAGATTACGAGCGATCACCGATGGGCACATCTGACGCGTTTAACGGTAGACGGCACGTGTGTGTGTGTGTCACGGTGTTTGCTTGTGTTGTTTATCGCGATGTGTATATTTGTTTATATATTCAGGAATCAATTGGATGTCCCGAGTCATCTGCTTTCACCAGAGAAAAAGTATCTTCTTCCCAAGCCACGCCTTCCACATCTGCGCCACGAGGAGATGGCACATTAGCACAGGAATACCACACAGCAGCACAAGCAGATGGCACAGCAGCACAAGCAGATGGCGTAACAGAAGGAGATGCTGTAGCAGGAGGAGATGATATAACAGAAGGCGATGATATAACAGAAGATGATGACATAACAGAAGATGATGACATAACAGAAGATGATTACATAACAGAAGATGATGACATAACAGAAGATGATGACATAACAGAAGATGATGATGTAGCAGGAGATGGTGTAGCACAAGAAGATGACATAGCAGAAGGAGATGATGTAGCACAGGAATACCACACAGCAGCACAAGCAGATGGTGTAAGCACACAAGCAGATTTAGTAGTACAAGAAGATGATGTAGCACAAGCAGATGGTTGTAGCACAGGAGGAGATGATGTAGCACAGGAGATGATGTAGCAGAGAGTGTGTAGCACAAGAAGATTGTGCAGCAGAAGAAGATGACATAACAGAAGGAGATGACATAACAGCAGGAGATGGCGCAGCACAAGAAGATGATGTAGCAGGAGATGGTGTAGCAGGAGATGGTGTAGCACAAGAAGATGACATAACAGAAGGAGATGATGTAGCAGGAGGAGATGTAGCAGGAGATGGTTAGCAGGAGATGGTGTAGCAGGAGATGGTGTAGCACAAGAAGATTGTGCAGCAGAAGAAGATTACATAACAGAAGGAGATGACATAACAGCAGGAGATGATGTAGCAGGAGATGGTGTAGCACAAGGAGATTGTGCAGCAGAAGAAGATTACATCAGCACAAGAGATTGTGCAGCAGAAGAAGATGACATAACAGAAGGAGATGATGTAGCAGGAGATGATGTATCAGGAGGAGATGACATAACAGAAGAAGATGACATAACAGCAGGAGGAGATGACATAACAGAAGGAGATGACATAACAGCAGGAGATGGCGCAGCACAAGAAGATGACGTAGAAGCACAAGAAGAGTACATGGCAGCACATGACGATGACGACATGATGTCCCCAAGGTAACCCATTTCCCAACAATCAACAGCTCGCGATGTGATATTGATAACCGGGTGGTGGTGGTGGTGGATAGGCGCGTGGCCTGTAATCCATCACCGTGGTGGCAACGCGGGTTGCTGGATGGACGCAGAAATGTTGCGCGCGGGTGTCGAATAGGTGCCATGGCGTAGTTCGAGACAGACCGGTGCCTCGCGAACTTTTCTCATTCCACACGGCAACACGTTCAAGCTCGCTCGGCCCTCAGCGGTGAGCACGTGGAACCGACTAGAAGCTTTCGCGACTGCAAGGATTCATACTCTTAGTTCTTTCGGTAAAGTCACCGCGTAGGTAAAAAAATGAAATTGAAATTAATAAAAAAATCACGACGTTTCGGAGGCAACGCAAGCTTCCGCCTCCGAAACGTCGTGATTATTTTAAAAATTAATTTTAATTTCATTTTTTTACCTACATGGTGACTTTACCGAAAGAACTAAGAGCACGTGGAAGCGACTTGCGCACGAGCGGCCGAGGGAGTTGAGAGGAACCCGGGGGGGTGGTGGGGACTGACGGCCGTGCACCGCACTTTGCCGTGACCAACGGAGAGTGCCGGTGGGAGTAGCGGGGGGTTGGGTTGGCCACTGAACGGCACGGAGGGTTCGTCTGGCCTTAGCTTGTGGAGGGCGAGGGTCTTTGCTTTCCTATAATACTGGTAGGAACCTCCTGGTTACAGCAGCCCACAGGGGATTGTTGTGTCCGTCCGCCCGTCCGCCGTGCATCCAAAAATGGGAGGGGTGGGGCTGGGTGGAGAGGGTGGGTCTGGGTGGGGGTAGGAGGAGTGGGGCTGGGTGGGGAGGGTGGGGAGGGGCTGGGAGGGGAGGGTGGGGAGGGGCTGGGTGGGGAGGGGCTGGGTGGGGAGGGTGTGGAGGGGCTGGGTGGGGAGGGTGGGGAGGGGCTGGGTGGGGAGGGTGGGGAGGGGCTGGGTGGGGAGGGGCTGGGAGGGGAGGGTGGGGAGGGGAGGGTAGTGAGGGGCTGGGTGGGGGGTGGGAGGGGTGGGGCTGGCTGGGGAGGGTGGGGCTGGGTGGGGAGGGGCTGGTCACCCCTACCCGTACCCGTACCCTACCCGTACCCGGCCGTACCCGTACCCTACCCGTACCCGGCCGGGTACGGGTAGGGTACGGGTATCGGGTACCCAATTGCGACCTCTGGGATGAGCCATGTTGCAGGCGCGGGTGGTTGATTCTAGGAACTTGTATTGTGAGAAGAGACAAGACGTTGGGAATTGAGTGACAAACGGTGACTCACCAGTGACTCACGGCCTACCCGTACTCGGCCGGGTACGGGTAGCCGGGTATCGGGTAGGGTACGGGTATCGGGTAGTGTACGGGTATCGGGTAGGGTACGGGTATCGGGTAGGGTACGGGTATCGGGTAGGGTACGGGTATCGAGTAGGGTACGGGTATCGGGTAGGGTACGGGTATCGGGTAGGGTACGGGTATCGGGTAGGGTGCGGGTATCGGGTAGGGTACGGGTATCGGGTAGGGTACGGGTATCGGGTAGGGTACGGGTATCGGGTAGGGTACGGGTATCGGGTAGGGTACGGGTATCGGGTACCCGGTTGCGACCTCTGCCACCGACCCTTGCTGCCTCCAGTGCTGCATTGCAGGCGTGCGCGCAGCCACCAACACCACGCAGATAACGGGCGGATACGTCACGGTGTCACTCAACGTCGTGTACGGCACAGCAATTAATTTGCGCGTATTTCTTTGGCAGGAGCGAATATCCGGAAGAGGAGAACTGCTCGCCCCCGACATCATCTGACGATGAGGAAACCTCGCGAGAGGACGCCGTCGATGGCTTCCCGCCAGACTCGCCGTGCTTCTCGTACCCAGGCTCGCCCATGTCCGTCGCAACAAACCTGGCGCAGGTGACGTGAGCCAACGCGCCACGTGAGCGCCGCTCGCACAGCCGCAGATGAGTAACACGGACTCATCTTCTTGGTTCTTTCGGTAAAGTCGCGTAGAAGGGAAATAATGAAATGATAAAAATAAAACATGATACAATACAATTCTCACGACGTTTCGGCCACAATGCAAGCAGCCGTCCTCAGGTGAAGAACAGGTCTGTCGGAAAGACAGTGTCAGACACTGTCTTTCCGACATACCTGTCCGTTCAGACGCTGTCTCTCCGGCAGGCCTGTCCATTCAGACGCTGTCTTTCCAGCAGGCCTGTCCGTGCAGACGCTGTCTCTCCGGCAGGCCTGTTCGTTCAGACGCTGTCTTTCCAGCAGGCCTGTCCGTTCAGACGCTGTCTCTCCGGCAGGCCTGTCCATTCAGACGCTGTCTTTCCAGCAGGCCTGTCCGTGCAGACGCTGTCTCTCCGGCAGGCCTGTCCGTTCAGACGCTGTCTTTCCAGCAGGCCTGTCCGTTCAGACGCTGTCTCTCCGGCAGGCCTGTCCGTTCAGACGCTGTCTTTCCAGCAGGTCTGTCCGTTCAGACGCTGTCTCTCCGGCAGGCCTGTTCGTTCAGACGCTGTCTTTCCGGCAGGCCTGTCCGTGCAGATGCTGTCTCTCCGGCAGGCCTGTCCGTTCAGACGCTGTCTTTCTGGCAGGCCTGTCCGTTCAGACGCTGTCTCTCCGGCAGGCCTGTCCGTTCAGACGCTGTCTCTCCGGCAGGCCTGTTCGTTCAGACGCTGTCTTTCCGGCAGGCCTGTTCATTCAGACGCTGTGTTTCCGACAGACCTGTTCGTTCAGACGCTGTCTTTCCGACAGACCTGTTCGTTCAGACGCTGTCTTTCCGACAGACCTGTTCGTTCAGACGCTGTCTTTCCGACAGACCTGTTCGTTCAGACGCTGTCTTTCCGACAGACCTGTTCGTTCAGACGCTGTCTTTCCGACAGACCTGTTCGTTCAGATGCTGTCTTTCCGACAGACCTGTTCATTCAGACGCTGTCTTTCCGACAGACCTGTTCATTCAGACGCTGTCTTTCCGACAGACCTGTTCATTCAGACGCTGTCTTTCCGACAGACCTGTTCATTCAGACGCTGTCTTTCCGACAGACCTGTTCATTCAGACGCTGTCTTTCCGACAGACCTGTTCATTCAGACGCTGTCTTTCCGACAGACCTGTTCATTCAGACGCTGTCTTTCCGACAGACCTGTTCATTCAGACGCTGTCTTTCCGACAGACCTGTTCATTCAGACGCTGTCTTTCCGACAGACCTGTTCATTCAGACGCTGTCTTTCCGACAGACCTGTTCATTCAGACGCTGTCTTTCCGACAGACCTGTTCATTCAGACGCTGTCTTTCCAACAGACCTGTTCATTCAGACGCTGTCTTTCCAACAGACCTGTTCATTCAGACGCTGTCTTTCCGACAGACCTGTTCATTCAGACGCTGTCTTTCCGACAGACCTGTTCATTCAGACGCTGTCTTTCCGACAGACCTGTTCATTCAGACGCTGTCTTTCCGACAGACCTGTTCATTCAGACGCTGTCTTTCCGACAGACCTGTTCATTCAGACGCTGTCTTTCCGACAGACCTGTTCATTCAAACGCTGTCTTTCCGACAGACCTATTCATTCAGACGCTGCCTTTCCGACAGACCCGTTCGTTCAGACGCCGTCTTTCCGACAGACCTGTTCATTCAGACGCTGTCTTTCCGACAGACCTGTTCATTCAGACGCTGTCTTTCCGACAGACCTGTTCATTCAGACGCTGTCTTTCCGACAGACCCGTTCGTTCAAACGCTGTCTTTCCGACAGACCTGTTCATTCAGACGCTGTCTTTCCGACAGACCTGTTAATTCAGACGCTGTCTTTCTGACCGACCTGTTCATTCAGACGCTGTCTTTCCGACAGACCTGTTAATTCAGACGCTGTCTTTCCGACCGACCTGTTCATTCAGACGCTGTCTTTCCGACAGACCTGTTCATTCAGACGCTGTCTTTCCGACAGACCTGTTCATTCAGACGCTGTCTTTCCGACAGACCTGTTCTTCACCTGAGGACGGCTGCTTGCGTTGTGGCCGAAACGTCGTGAGAATTGTATCTTATTATGTTTTATTTCTATTATTTTATTATTTCCCTTCTACGTGATGACTTTACCGAAAGAACCAAGAAGATGAATCCCTGCTGCAGTCACGAAAGAAGCTTTAAATCGGAACACGGACTAACTGGCGGCGTCGATCGCTGCCTCGCGTGGTGCGCTGCGCGTGTGGAATGACGACGCGAGACTTTTGCGTTCCCAGGACGATGGATACGACTTGGAGGCCGAGCAGCAGCAGCAGGAAAATTTCGAGTTGACATTATTCGGCGCGCCCGTAAGTTGTTTTGTATTCAGGGCAAACGTGTTTTCGCCGCACGACAATACTGCTGAAAGTGATCGGATTATCAAGACAATTTGAATGGCGTATGTCTCGGGGTTACTGACAAATTAGGCCG